CCTCCCCTCTGCGCTCTCTCCGCAGGACCCGTCTGTTCCCCCTCGGGCTACAAGAAGGCGGATGATGAGATGTCCGGAGCCACGTCCTCGGCGGATCTGGACGAGGCACCAGCCCGCACCATTTACTTGAACCAGCCCCAGCAGAGCAAGTTCCGCGACAACTGGGTCAGGTACGGGAGCAATCCTCGCTTCACCCCTCCCCGGTGACAGCCTGCACGCCCCACGGCTGTGGGCAGGGAGGGCTCCGGTCCCCTTCCCTCCCTCTTGGCCCTGCCCAGACCTGGCTTCAGCACAGCAAGGTCTGCTCCTGCCGCGGCAGTGGGGTTCGCTGGCCGCAGTGAGTGCCCGGGTCTGGATAGTCGTAGAGGGGAGAGGCAGCAGGGAGGGATCCAGCAGCAGCCAGCGGTAAGCTTCTTGCATCAACAGTAGTAAGAGAGGGGAGCTCCTAGAGCTGCATGGGTGAGATACGTGGAAAGGTTCTCACTTGCAGCTTTGGTAGAGCCGCTGAATTTTGGAATAACAGGACCTAATCCCGTAGTCTTGAACACAAGGGTTAACCCATGAAAAATCTGTTGTGAGATTTGGGTAGGATTGGATGTGTAAACTTCATGGAGTGTTCTTTCAAAGTAGCAGCATGTAATTGTAAGAATAACTAGACCAGGTGTTTAAAAAAAAAAGATATAGAATAGGAAAGAAGAAAAGAAAAAGTAAGTCTAACAGGACAGGAATAACCACAGAGTTTACAAACTTGCATCTCCATGCGTACAAGGCTATGGTTCACTTGTTTGCTTTAATTGAAGACCAAAGGGAATTTACTTTGGCATTTAGAGTCTTTCATTGTAGAGGTGTGCCTTTAAGACTTCTATCGGTATCGTTAATGCTGTGTTGCTGCACTTTGGAAACACAAATAATATGCACTGAAACATGCAGTATGAGGGTGCATAACATAAGCAAGTTGTTGGCGGTGCTTGCCACGCTTGCCCTGTGTTAGCTCAGTGAACAGATGGCACTCATCATGACTAAGGAGGAGTGCTATTTAGCAGGCTTCTGTTTGTTAATGCAGATGTTTGGGTTATTGTTCAAAGAACAGTTTACACAATGACTGCTCTTATAAAAAGAGAGGAACTCCATAGCCTGCTGAAATGGTGATTTCCATTAGCCTGTTTGTGTATATTATCAAGAGCAGTTCTAACAATATTCTCTGGAAGGATGCTGGTGTTCCAGGTAGTCCAGCACCTTATTTACACAGGATTTTCTCCTCAACTTTTATTATATACTTGTCTTGGAAAGTCTATGGATTAGGAGCAGTTAAAATGACAGATTTTCTTAGTGTTTTGCTTTTTCTATGTGGGCAGCAACACTAGATGTTTTCTCACTTTATTTTTATTTTTCCTTGACTAATTATGAGCTGAGTTTGACCATTTTCTGTGGATAGACTACTTGTGCTTTTCTTGCTTTACAGAAAGAAAAGCAGGGAATAGAGGGTTGGCAGAATCTGTAGTTAACGGTTTTCCTGAAGGGATTCTGTTCTGATTTGTCTTAATCTTATGAAAAAGTAGTGTGTGACTCAGCTAACCAAGAACTGGTTCTTGACAGTGCTATTACCAATGCCTGAGAGCTGTTGTGTCCAATGTGCAGTCTGGAAGCCATCTCCTGGTAGCTTTAAAAGTTCTTCAGTAAGTTTTTGTAGCTTTGCCTCCTGACAAGGGCAACTTGAGTCATGAGGAATATTGGTGTGTGCAGGATAGGACAAAATGCAGGTAGTGTAAGTGGGAAAGTAGAGATGTTTGCATTACCTTATTTAGGAATCTTAAATCCTCAGTGTCACTTGGAAATTAAGTTCACTTTATAATAATTTGCTGCTGCTGCTTAGTAAGAAAACTTTGATCTCTGACTTCTTTTAAAAGAAGGGTGGCAGGTTTTGGCTGTGCTCTCTCCATCCTTGGGATTAGCCACCTTCCTTCAGCCTAGTGGGAGTGAAGGCAAAGGTATCTTGAGCTCATGGTATCTGAGTAAGGGTGCCTTGTGTGGAGTACGAATGGTGGTTTATTTATCACTTGCTTATGTATATTGGAGTTTCTCTTGAGGAACTGCAGTTCTGTTTTGCCCTCAGACTTTCCTACTTACTGTGTTCGGCTTTGGGATTTCTCAGTGCTGGATTTGAAGATGTATTGTCTCCGCAGGAAGCATCAGCGTACCACAGCGCAAGGCGTTGTGTCAGGGGATAAACACCTATGCACAAGGGCTTGTGGAAAATGGAACTGAAGGAGACAATGAACCAAGTTGTAAACCATGTAGCTTCTGACTGTGGCCTTGTTGGTAGTCATCAAGGATTCTCTGAACAACAATGGGAATTTATGAATGTTCATAGGAACTTTTCCAAATTAAGGGGTAGCGTGGAATCGCTTGCTGAAAACTAAGCAAAATAGAGCAAGAAATGGAGGTGCAGAGGGTGGGAGAAGGTAGGTCAGTGGTATGGCTCTTTAAGATGTTCTAAGCATCTCTTTTTGGGGAGAAGAGGCACTGTTAAAAGTGAATTTCTATGGTTGTGGGAGCAAAAGGAAAAAGTGATAAGCACCAATATTTTTAATTTTGGGCACGGTAAGCAAAACTCATAATTCCCTAATGCCACTTCTAGAGCATGTAGTGCTATTGCAAAAGCTAAGTGGATGGCAAGACGGCACTAAGGCTTCCAAAAGTTTTGAAGTGTGAGGATGTAGAAGGAAGAGCTTTTTCTTTCTTCAGGTTTTCTGGTGCTTTCTGGTGTAAATAAGTGAGTTTGTGAGAACTTGTAAAGCAATGGCTAATTTTTTTTGAGCTTTTCCAACTTTTCTGCAAACTATTTCAAAACCGGGTGCTGTAAAACTTTGTAGGCTGGATCTAGCTTGGTCCTTTGTGTATATATGGCTGTCACTATTCTTTACTGCAGCAGCAGTGATTCCTTTTGTAGGAACATACCTCTTCTACCTGTGTTAGAAGCTGTTTTCATCTCTGCTATGTTCAGTTTGAAAAACTTTGTCTATGTGTAACACTTCTTAATAAAGGGTTCAAAGGTAAATGATGTTCCATTTTCAGCTGAAACTTTGAAATACGTAAAAAATGGAACACACAATTACTTTGTCTAATGCAGCTGTAGTTGTGGTATTAAGTATGTTTGCTTTTATGAAGTTAACTAGTACCTGTTTTGGCTTGTTTAATGTACATAACTTGATCTGGGAAGCACAAAAGTGCTGAAATGACTTTAAGGGCACTTGTAATTGTCTCCAGATTTTCAGAGTACGCTGCAGTTGCTGTATGTGATATTCTTATATTCAAGGCCTGGTAGTGCATCCTAGTGCAAGTCTGACTTGCATCTGCATCAGGCCTCCAAGTTCAGCCTTGGTATATAGCTTGAGTGGGAGGTCAGGGGCAGAGCAGCAGTCAGTAAAGGGCAAAATTCTGCTTGTATGCTTTTAATGGATCTTGAATCCAGAAGTTTTGTTGAAAAGTGTCTCACCAGAACAATTTGGTGGCTTGATCTATTAGGGAGGTCCCAAAAGATGCATTCTGCTATCCAGAAAATCCTCAGTTCAGAAACTTGTTTTCCATACAGGCAGAAGTTAAATTCTGCTAGAAAAGATAATGAGCAAAAAGCCTTCAGTGTTCACTTTCAAACTGTACAGGGTCTTAAAACTTAAGCAAACTGGTGAGAACGAATTTCTTGTTTCATAAGACAGAAGCACAATAGCTAGGAATTTAGCACTGAAGACTCTAACTGTACCTTTGCTCTTTAGATAAAACTGCCCTTACTTGTGTTAAACTTATACTTGGTAGAGCTCAGACACAGTGTGTACTAGTGTTTGTATTATATTTCCAAGTATCTTCTGTTGTCATGTGAACAGATAACTTGCCTGATGGCAGGAAAGTGTTTTGGAATTCTTCAAAGGAGGGATGTATTACATTCTGAATTATACAAGTCTAATCACATATTAAACTAATCTTGTAACTCTCTTTGGTTCTGGGTAGATACTGTTATTAACTGAAAAGAAGTACTCAATAGTGTTATGTACTTCTCATAAATAATCAAAAACTTAATCTTCCTGCAGTGCAGCTGTTGCTGATACTGTAATCTATCATAATGGAAAAAGCTTGGGTGCAGCTGTAGAAGGGTTCTTTTAGCCATCAAAACTCAACTAAATGTTACTGGTATTGTATGCATGGTGTTGATGTGTTTCCAGATGGTGCTGATGTATTTGAAGTTGCTGCATCTTTGGTCTTAATGGGCTACTCCTAGGGCTGGAGCCTCTGGACAGTTAAAACTGTTGAATTTTGCTTTGAGGAAATGTCTGGATAAAAAAACCACCCAACAACAACAAAGCAGATGTGAAAGTTCTACTGCCATTCTACCTGCTGCATGCTGGGCTTTCTGGCATCCTGAAATTGTTTGTGGGTTTGGTTTTTTTTTGGCATCATGATGGATTTTACACATCAGCAGTAGCAACACAGCAGAGGAATTAAACTGGGTGTTTTTCCTCTTTTTAGATAGTCAGTATTTAAGTGACTTCCAGACACTGGAGCCAAAGCTTAAATGCAGTCTGACTTCATGCAAACAAAGCTGCTTTCCCACATATTTGTTGAATAAATATTGGCCTATATTCAGCAGTGTGTATTCCCTTGTGACTCTGCATTTCTACTTACTTCACCGCTGCTGGTGATCTCTGTCCAGATAAACATGTGTAAAGGAAGAGACTAAATGTGTTTGGTGATTCTTTATGTAGTCTGAGGGTGGTGTCAAAGCAGGTGTGTTTCATAACTTAGAGGTGGCATGTGCAATAGATCACACTTTCTGAAGTCTCTTGCTGTTTATAGAATCACTTAGGTTGGAAAAGACCTTTAACATGATCAAGTCCAACCGTTAAAACCTTGCACTACCAAGTATACCACTAAACCATGTCCCTAAGCACCACATCTACATGTCTTCTGATAACATTAAGGGACGGTGACTCCACCACTTCTCTGGGCAGCCTGTTCCAATGATTGACAACCCTTTTGGTGAAGAAATTTTTCCTGATACCCAGTCTAAACCTCCCTGGCACAACTTGGTGCCATTTCCTCTTGTCCTGTTGCTTGTTATTTGGGAGAAGAGACTGACACCCACATTGCTACAGCCTCCTTTCAGGTAGTTGTAGAG